ATGCATGCTATCCAAAGCAAGAATTACAGGCGGCAGGATCTTCGTCTGAGGACCTCCCCCAACTTTCCATCAAAAATCTCGTCCAAGCTGCTTTTCCGGAATTAGGAAAACGCCCCAAAATCGGCCTTTTCAGCCCGTTCAAAGCTCAAATTCGGATTCTACGTGGCGAAGCCTAAAACATGCAAAAAGGTGGAGGTGCAAAATCTGCCGGGACACTGCCTTTAAAGGCAGCATACACCCAAAATCTAAGTTACCGAATTTCCTAGATCTTTTTATACCGGACCCAGAAGAAGACCAACTGCGTTAGTCCGGTCTCCCAATGTTGCTTCTGAGCGTAGAACCCCCCCCCCCTCAATTTTCTTTCACTCCGCCCCTTTTCCTTCACTCCGCCTCCTCCGGACGAATCCACGACAGCGTCAGCTTCAGTTGCCGTTACAGTTGCTGTTGCAATGTCGGGCGACGAACTACGACAGCATATGCAGCAGTTGCAGTTGCAACTGCAGGCTGTCATGCTGTTGCAGCTGCTGGCATGCCGACGGGGACGAGTAGGTCGAAACTCGTCTGCCCCTGAAGAGAGGGTCTCCGGAAATCGGGGTTTTTTGGGACTTTTGGAGGATTTCAATGACATTACTGTAATCAGCGGCACGGAAAGGCCCCAGAATGATAAAAACATCGAAGATGAAATTCTGGGTGTACGCTGTCTTTAAGGCGGGTCATCTCCACACCCATCAATCCTAAAGATTCCCCCCCCCCCCCAGGAATCCACTATGTATTAGGGTGATCTGTAAAAAATGGGGCACCTAGAGAATAACTGTACAATTCTCAAAAAAGAAAAGTGGTAAAACTTCCCAATTTTGACAGATGTTAGAATAAATCATTCTCTTTTAGAAGATTCCTATATAAGGTCATTTACTTACTTTTAATAACTTTTATAGTGGCCGAAATGCAATGTTTGTCACTTTGACAAATTATAAACTTTGGGCAGTATCTGAGCAGTGAAACATGTGAGACCACCCAAGGTACCACTGCTGGAGTGGGTGGTGGGACAGTCACTAAACCCACGACAGCTTGATGGCCTTAACTTTCAATGTCAGGAGATATGGCCATTGGCAGCTTCGTGAACAAAGACACGCGTTATTCAATTCTTTGCAGAACGCATGTTTTCTAAGCATCATCTGATAGAGCTTTTAACGCTCTATCTATCCATATGCAGATAACCTCAGACTTTATCTATCTCGGAAAATAGAGGCAAAAATAATTTCTGGTTTTTTGTTGCGCCAAAAAATCGCGATTTTTCAGATATTTCGCTTTTTTATCCAGAGATAGAAAGAAATTTTGTATGTTTTATATACTGTTTCAAAGAGCATGAAGAGTTCTTTCGAAAGGTATGTCACTTGCTTTACGACTTAACGCTATAGCAGCGCAAGAATGAGCGATGCAAAAACCTTGTCTGAGTTCTTCATGGCGCCACGCGTACGGTCATGAAAGAGGAGCGGTAAAGCGGTGCCAGAATAATAGGCGAAGGTCGTTATGTAAGCGACGTTTGAGTTGCTGCCTGCTTGTTGTTGGTGAGAACGAAAAACCTCAAATTGTAATAAAAATCAAGCTCCCCATTTTTTACCGATCACCCTGATATCACCCTTATATATCTTTCCACTTTCATTACAGTCCTTTCTCATCCACTTCATTGAACGTCTCGCTTACTCCTCGCTGCCCTACCGACCCTATTGTTTGCAGGGCCGGTAGTAATCGCCCCGACCTGGCGGCATGTTTCGCCGTCAGGTCGCCGTCAGCTTTATGTAAAGTCGGCGTGATCACCGACCTCAAATCTGTGTCCTCCAAACCCTTTTCACCAGGATCTTCCTGGTCGAGGAGGTCATTGTAACCCTAGAGAACCTTGCTTGGCAATTGAAGATTCTGAAAACCTTTCTAAATAAAATTAGTAAGGTAGGCAGGAAGTGCTGGTGGCAACTTCGCAGGCTCCTGGCGGCACCTCATCAAAATTTTAGCGCTGAGGGATGTCGCCGCTAGAGAGCACAAGAATTAGCGTGCTCATTTGATCAAGGTGCCACCACCCCGACGCGGCCCTACTATGTCGAGGCGGTGGCACTTTGATCGCAAAGTCGCCGAAGGTGATGCCCCTTCATCCGAAAGTTTCTCAGAATCAGGGTTTGATTCCAGCGAAAAACGGATGAAGGCGTCCGTAACGGATATTCCTGTGCCTCATAACAGGAGCGGCATACATAAGCATTGGTACCATCTCTGAATAAGTTACTATCAATGTGGGGATTACTTCAGAGCGCGAAATCATCGCTCGGCAAGCGCAAATACAAGAAAACTATCCAAAAACACAAAACAAAGATTTCAATAAATAAAGATCATTACCAGGCCGCTCTTGGAATATCTTCTCAAAGTTCAACGTACTCTCAAGAGCATTGATCATATCCAAACACATTCACAATTTTCTTGCGCATTCTCTTGCCGCTTCTGCATTCTGCGGAACATGAACGTATGGTCGAGTAGTTAGCGCAGAGGTGGTCAAAGGCGAGAGGTGGAAGTCCGAGGTTGCGTGCCGCAAAACATTTGCGGTGGATCGGGAAACTACGGCATACGCTTACCACTCCTTCGTCAATGCGAGCAATGTGTGTGCGATCAATGGGTTAACGCGCTGGCGCTCGGAGCCGTTGCATGCAAGTTCGCAGGCGCACGCGGTGCGAATTTCTGCGGAGGTCTGCCTGCGGCCACTCTGTTCACGCAGGAGTTGGCAGCTTTCCGTGATGTTGCCAACTTAGAGTACTAGTACCACCTGCCCAGAAGTAAAAATTACGAGCTATGCTCTCGTGAGAATCGCGTATATACAAAACTAGTTGACTTACCCGGTTCCGCCCGGCCCTGTCATATTATATTCGTAATCAGCATGCTCGATTACCCCCCTGTGCCAACACCCAGCCCCGTAGCTCAAATTTTGCAAATAATCGATAAAATCGATATCGATCGATGACGAAAAGTAGCCTATGACACTCGCCGAGGCCCGTAGTGTATGTGTGCCAAGTTTGGTCCGGATCGGTTCAGAAATACTAATTTCTATTCGGAACATACGTACACACAGACATACAGACAGACATACAGACAAACAGACATTCAGCTTTTATAAGATTGTACTAGCATAAACAAACGACTTGCTCACAGAATGTAGCAATGATAGGGCACACACGATGCATGTGTGTATAGCACATTGATGATTTGTATTGCAGTATGAAAAATTAATAGACTTGGCAAACTTCTGACAATAAGTGGTCTCGGGCTTACTGACAAGCCACACAGAGTAGCCCAGAGTGGAGAAATTTATATTTTGTTCCTTTCTATAGATAACTCACCCGACACCCTATAGACAATGTCGTAAATATTGGCAAGTCAACGACTTCGTTCTCGAAAGTACCACCTCGTGACGAACACTTGAACTTGAGATTTGGGACTACGTCGGAAATTCTGATTTATAATCAGTGAATGATTCCAAAATGGCTATGACGGCTATAGTAGATCTCTCTTATAAAAAGGTTGTAAGTATGCTAAGTCCGCGACAATGAGCGCCCACACCGTACTACTCTAAAAAAGTGCTAGCTTCAGCGATATAGCCTACAAAAACAAAGTACACAAACAGCTAGGCTCATCATCGAGAGCTTGTATGTTTGAGTATACGAGTGGGGTAAACTGCGATATGAAAATTGATGTAGTTTTTAAAAAGCAGTTGTAAGTAAATTTCTTAAAGGTACCTAATTTCTTCGCACTTGAGTTCCTGACACGTCTTCCTTGACACAATTTTGACATATCGTTTTAAGATTTCTCTGCAAGCTCCTCTATGATTGCCAGAGTACTTCTTCGATCCTGCACAGATTCACTACTGTTCTGGAAGTCAGAATCAATCAGTGTCAGAATGAGTGTGAAAGGAAACTGCCTATTGCTCCGTTACTCTCTGATTTTTGTAATCGAAAGACATGTAGTGCTCGGAATCTTTCTGGTCTGCGGCAAATTAGACAATTTGACTTGGTCAATCATGAGTCAAGCTAGGTTTGTTCTTTCAGCAAAGTCGAGAGTCGTGCAGAGTCCGGGCGAGTCACGGCATTGAACTGTAAGGCTATGCAATAATTCGCAAATAATCGTAAAATCCTAGCCTGTACGTACAAGCGCTTTTCTTGCAGACTCACTGAAATGCTTTAACCTATCATTATTAATTTCACCATAGGTACCGTAACCGTCACTGCTGCTTTTCATAACTGCGTTTTAAACGCAATACTGCGCCGGAAGTGCCGCATTGCTATAACTTTCTACATGTTACTCCTATCCAGCCCTACTTCAAATATTTGAGAGCAGTACTCTCCGATGCATCTGTATGTCAAAAAATTCGAAAAAATCACAATCTTTTGTCAGCATGGCTAATTATAATATAAACGCAATGTTGCATCGGAAGCGCAATGTTGCAACGGAAGTGTCTTGGAGTAACCTTTTGAGAAACAACTCTTTTTGGTTTTCGATCCTGTATTTGTATACCAACGATTACTATATCCGATGTATATTTACAGCCTGAAAGAGTCAATTTTTTCATGTGCCGCAAGGCGCAAAAAAGACTTTTCGCGTCGAAGATGCCGCATTCTTAAATGCCTTCCAAATCCTAATAAAACTTGTTTACATTGTTATCATTAGCGTCTGTCGAGCTATCCTTGAATTTGTTTAGAAGTCCAAAAACCTCAATTTTGAGTGGATTACGCGTTCTGAATCTTATTAGTCCTTCTTTTTGCACTGATAAGCTGATAACGATCAACTTATCGCACGAAGTTTTAAGCTATATAGTTGAACCAGTATTTCTAAGCTATCCATAGGTATGTTCAAAAACATAAAAGGAGATCAAGTTGAAGAGTTGTTCAAAGTGGGTATAAATGTTGTGTATCAAATTACAAGATCATAACCAGCCTCTTGATTACTACAGCGATTTGTGAACCTGATCATCCGGAATATTTTTATCATCACATAACACGATACTATAATGGCGATATAATCGTTGCCTTTTTAAGCCTTTGCCACCTGGGCAATGTAAGCTTTCCATTCTCTGATAAATCCTTTGGGAAGTCCAAATTTTGGGCATGTTTGCAGATAATTCACACAGTTGTCATCCAGTTTCATCGAGAGAACTTGTTGGTCCTTCACATGACCTTTGAAGCAAAGCGCTTTTTTCTCGCCCTGAAAAATCAAAAAAGTCACAGTAAAATAATTTAGAGACAGAATGTTCAACTTGTGCTTAGTTGATTCATAGATAGCCAAATCTCAATTGGAGGCGTTTCACAGATTTTTATTTGTCCATTTATTAGGTGGGTGCAAAAGTTCTTCGCCGGATTTTCAGAAAATCATAACTTCCTTTCTTCTCAGCGATTTCTCAAATTATTTTTGTATGAAAGAGGAAACCTTTTTCTTTATAGCGGTGCCTTTGCCATGAATTAGCCTTGGTAAATTCGAGAATTAAAAGCAATTGATTGGTCAAGATCAACATTTTTCAAGCTGGATCACGAAAAATTTTGGAAGTATTAGGTTGTCTCATAATTTTTTACCGTTTTTACTGCAACCGCCGTCTTTTCGTACCTTTCTTTCATCGTTGTGGCTTGAATAATCATTTAACAGAGAAAGCAAGCTCTACAAGATGGCTATCAAGAGTCTGCCCAAATCGTATTCTACGTGAAGTTCTAAGCTCAAATCCGATAGCAGTCAAAAACGAACTTTTTGGAAAAAAATCGTATCTCCGCTTCAAAGTATCTAAAAAATTCCCCATTTATTCTAGCATATGCTTGACACATCACACATTCGGCGGCACACTTTCCTAATTTTTCCTATGGCTGGAAATAAAGAAAAAATGAATGAGGCAAAATGGCAAACTCTGCCCCTAGACGTCCTGAGCTCTTCCCACGCATGTGATCATATAGCTCGTACATATAGAAGTACGGCCATGTGTTTGGATTTTTTGTAGGTTCCCCAGTTCTCGAGAAATGCTGATGTTTAGGGTAAAAACGGTAAAAAAAATTATGGGGCAGCCTAATACTTTTATTTGACAGAGAAAACTTTGCACATTACAGTGGTACCTTTTTCGTGAATAAGATCGAGAGTTAGAAGCAAATAAAAAGAATTTCTTCACTTTTGCAATTTTTGAGCATGCTCAAAAAAGCTTGAAAACGTCACAGGATAGGCGAAAAAATCATAAACATGGGTTTTGTGACCTTCCTTTCTAGCTAAGCGAAAATCGTGCCAATTGGAAGCAATTTTCATTTTCGCGATTTATTCGGATTTTCCGGTCAACGTCTTTCACGAAAATGAAAATTGCTCCCGATTGGCACGATTTTCGCTCAGCTAAAAATCGAAGGTCACAAAACCCATTTTTATGATTTTTTCGCCTTTTCTGTCACGTTTCCAAGCTTTTTTGAGCATGCTGAAAAATCGCAAAAGTGAAGAAATTTTCTTTATTTGCTTCTAACTCTCGATCTTCTTCGTTTTAATTCATGAGAAAAGAACCACTGAAATTACAAAATTTTCTCTATCAGATAAAAATACTTCCAGAATTTTTCGTGATTCAGCTCAAAAAATATCGAACTTGACTGATTTCATTCAATTGCTTTTAACTCTCGAACTTACCAACGCTAATTCATGGCAAAGGCACCGCTATAAAGAAAAAGGTTTCCTCTTTCATACAAAAATAATTTGAAAAATCGCTGAGAAGAAAGGAGGTTATGATTTTTTGAAAATGCGGCGCAAGAACCTTTGCACCCACCTAATATATGGTGGAAAATGTGTAGTATATTGTCAAGCGCTTTTCATGAACTGAGACCTCAAAACTCTTAGAAAGTCTGACTATGCTCTTCCATAGAATTGCCCCTTTTCGTTCTCACGCTCCTCATTGCGCGTATGCGTACCAGATTTGGTGTCATATAATAGGGAATCCAGGAGCGATATTTTGCTTATAAAGTTGCCATGTACCCTCTTAGCAGTACCCTCTTAGTGGCGTACCGAGGGGGCGAGGCCGGAGGGGAGCCCCCCCCCCTCACCCCAAGAGCGAGCTGAAAGTTACTTACATGGGCTAAAAAACGTGCAAGGGGTTGTTTACGCATGTAACTAAATGAAAATTTTGAAATCTTCAAAAATTCAAGTTAGCATAAATTTTGTAGGGGCGTGGAGTCCGCAAAAGTTTTCGGAAGCCTCCCAAAAAATTTTCGGAGTGCATGGCTGACGCCACGCATCTTTACTCGAGAAAATTTTTTGTCCTCCCTCCCCCTGAGCGAAAATTCTTAGTACGCCATTGACTCTTGAGTGTTCATAGAATCATGGTCTAGAGAACAATCTGCATCGTCTGATGAGTGGGCGGCAGTGGAGAGAGAAGAGAAGAAAGGCCGACAAGTTGAAACTTGGATGTGGCTGATTGTCGAATCATGAAGAGTATTCTATAAAATACAGTGAAAAACTGTATGAAAACGGTTGCTGCTCAGGTGACGCTCTGCTGACTATAGGTGCGATAGTGTGAGAATTTGCTCCCCCCCTCCCCCTTTCACCCCTGAGTCGGGACCAAGGTGACCCCTTCACCAAAATCCGAAATCAACATTGAGGTAAGGTTAAGCAAAGAAGACATTTGTACGGGAATTGTTTGTGCATCGGAAAGGAGGACGAATATTTATAGGCATTCATGTACTTCCAGGAGGAAAAAATAGTTGCTTCTATAGCTGCACAGCAAGTCAGCGAGGAAGGTTCCCACAACGTTCCCATCTGGTTTCAGGGAATAAATTGTTTGCCTAGAGTTCGTTCATAGAAGTACCTAATGAAAGTTGTGCTTAGTAATTTCTGGACACTTACGAGTTTTTCAACATAAAAAATCATATATTTTGTAGATGAATAGCTGGTACAAGGAAATAATGACCATCGGAACCGCCCCCTCCTCTTTTTTCAGATGATTGTATATGTCTGAGATCCGTCCAATAAGTGGGTGAAGGGTGTGCTCAGTGATTTCTGAAGATCTTCGAGTTTTTAACATGAAATTCATAAGTTTTGTAGATGAATCGTTTAAGCCGAGATGGTACCATTGAAACCGTCTCGTTCTCCGCCTTCAGAAAATATTTACTTTCCCTGGGGTTCGTTAGAAAAAGTGCCGGGTGAAGGGTGGGTGAGACTCTCTTTTTACAATGGTAAAAAAGCCTCCACTTTAGCACTCCCATTATAAAAGTCTCACCCACCCTTCACCCGGCCCTTTTTCAATGGCGCCTAGGCAAAGTATATATTTTCTGAAAACGGAGGACGAGACGGTTCCAACGGTGACCATCGCGGCGTAAAACATGTTCATCTGTAAAAGTTATGAATTTTCTTTATGTTAAAAACTCGGAAATCTCCAAAAATCACTAGAACACCTTCACCCAGGCCTTTTTTTTTGAAGGACCTCAGGCAAAGTAAATATTTTCTGAAATGAGGACGAGATGGTTTCAATGGTGGCTATCTCGGCGTACAAGATGTTCATCAACAAAAGTTATGAAATTTTTATGTTAAACTCGAAAATTCCCAAAAATCACTAGGCACACCCTTCATCCAGACACTTTTTAACGGCTTCCAAGCAAACTATATATGCTTCAAAAGCTGAGGACAAGATGGTTTTAAAAATACTTTCCTTGCTGACGTTGCTGTTCCTCTATGGAAACTACGAATCTTCTTTCAAAAATTCGTAAATGCACAAAAATTGTCTAACTCTTTCTGAAACAAATCCACTCGCATGCACATCTTCTATGGTAATTTCAAAAACAGGCAGGGTGATGTAAAAAAGGGAAAAGTAAATGTAAAAAAATACAAGGTGCTGGTCAGAATTATAATTGTGTGCTAATCCAGCAGCACATTGGCTCACATTTCAGAAAAAAAGACAGTGATGGCAAGGAATTGAGAATTCTAAAAACTAAAAACTTGACCAAAAAATGATGAGAGAACACCATTGCTCCCCCCCCCCCCTCCCCCCCGGGTCGACACTTTATAATTTCTCTACCAAGTGAAACACCCTTCAGCTGGAGGGGCTGCGACCACTTGACCCCCTTCACCTTGGAGGAGTCATTCTCACCTTATCGCACCTATGCTGCTGACACTGTGCCAGCGAATCTGGAAAAGATTTGGGGCCACGTTATAATGAAACAAATGAGAAGTTGGAATACGACTGCCAAAAAGATTTTATTCGCACAAGTTTTTCATAACTCTTCATATGCTTTCCAGCACAGTTTGATTGTATATTGCTCCCCACTACGCGCAGTTTATTGCGCATTCTACACGAAAGCGTCATATAATTGACTGTTGTTAGTTGTTAACTAGTATTGTAATTATATGGTGTACGGTTTAAATGTTTTTGCAATTGAAGCTATGTGTTGGCTTGATTTAGCTTGTTCTTGCAGTGATAGTTTGCTAAAATGGTATCGTCGATTCGTTGACCGCGCGGACTTCTCAAAAACTGCGGACCACGCTGCTGAAATGTTGTGAGAGCACTTTCTACAATGGCAAATTTGTACTGCGGCAAGCGTTTTACCTCGCGGCACGTGCTCTGCATTGATGTCCAGTCCATGCGGTCAGCGAGTCGACGATACATGCAGGGTGTCCTTAAAGTATGTATACACTGTTTGATCGTTAATTTCTCTTTTCCCAAGAAGTCTTTTGCCTTGCTTCAGGTAGCATTTTGTAGAGCTGGCTTCAACTTAGATTTGCAGTATGGAGTGAATCACCCAACTCTCTTCATTACTGTAGAATCACGGTAGAAACTTGAAACATATGGTGTCAATGTGGAAAAAGCTGCCGTTTCAAAAATTTTCAAAAAGATGTGAAAACTTGTGTAATAGGGTTTTCATGGACGCTGAGTTCAATACTCAACTATTCACAAGATTGCTAAGCTTTCTAAACGGTGCAACCGCACTTTTTAGGAACATTGAAAAAATGTCCGCTACCTCTTACCTGGCATAACTCTTCAGTGAAGCATCATAATAAGTTGGGAACTTTACAGTTAAAATCAGCAACTCTAATTAGCCTAGTGTAAAGGTTTTCAGATTGTTTTGTTTCCTTTTTGAGGCAAGATATGGCCTTTCATTGCTTAAAACCCTTTTTGAAGTTTCTGCCGTAATCCTACAGTAATGAAGAGCGACAGATCATTCGCTCCACACCGTAAATCTAAGTTGAAGCTAGCTCTACAAAAC